CTTGAAACCTTACAGCTATAGATTTTGAATTAGTGGACTTAATCCATCACTAAAATCATGAATCCGCTTATCCACTGTCTATTTGACAAGTCAGATTTTAGAATGCAGTACGTTGCCTTTCTTTAAACATGATAAATATGACATTTTCTCACACAGCTACTTCGGGCAGGCGTTAACTAACAGACTCATAATGATGATTGAAGTGGTTATGATGTACTTGGATTTGGGGGGAATTTAAAGTGAAAGAATTAAAATCAGTTTGGAAATTCAATTTTTATTATAGAAAAATAATATGAATGAAAGCAATGGCTTGAATTTCCATTTTTGCACTCTATTGGCATTACACATTCTTACAAGCACAATTAATATACTTGGAGAAAATGACATTGGAAATAGTTGCAAGGAAATGCACAAAAGGGCTATATTTACAATTATGGTGGGATTGATCTGGTTTTGAAAGCATATACATGTAGTAGAGCAATATATAATATTTTCGGAAAAAGGGCTAGTTACATTTTGATATGACTGTCTTGAAATATGGAGAATTAGCTTTAAAATTTTGTACATTTTTGTTCTCAGAAAGAATGCATGGAACTTTAGTTATCTGAACATCATTTTTTTGACTAGTGTGCTACAGATTTGAGAGTATTTCAAGTCTACGATGCTTCATATGATTAAATAAAATAAATTATACCAATTTAGTTGAAAAAAAAATGTCTAAATGGGTCTGCTTTTGGCCAAAAAAAAAATCAAAGAGAGGTTTTTTTTTAATATTAAATGCTAGCTGTATCAGTTATGTGGCTCCGGGGCCATAAAACTTAGGTCAAATTTGTTGCATCTAAACTAGTTCAGGTTTTGGTTTAAGGTTTAAAACTAGTTTTCAAACTGGTTATAAGTTTGGATCCGGTTTACCTCGGTAAAACAAATGAACAGTTTATACAAGATGGCTTCTAAAAGATGCATGCATGATTAATTATATTAATATTAATCATGTTAATTGAAAATTTAACTCGGAAATACTGCTGCTGATGAAAAAAAGAGATAGAATTGCAAGAATTTTATGATGTTTTTCATGTGCATTTACAATGTAGGAACCTTAATATGAAGAGCTAGAACAACAGACCTGAACAATTTAACATATTAACCAAACTACACATCCAAATAAAGTTAAAATCTTTTTCTTAATAAAAGAATCCAAGAAATTTTAGTTTTTTTGTTCCTTGTTTATCTTACTTAAAATGCAGTATTTCTATTTATAATGCCTCAAAGATTCATCAAATGATCATGCAATTTCCAATTTATAACACATGGAGAGATTAAATCTCGGGTATTTATAATTATACTCTTTAGATTTCCAACAGTAAAACTGTCTTTACAGGATGTTCTACAATTTACCATACATGTTTTAAAGTTTGTCCAAATGATTCAAAACTTATTTTTGAAAAGGAAAATTTAACATTTTCTGTTCATTATCATTGAATAAACACCATTACAATATGCAGCATTTATCTATTCTCTGAAGCCTTCTATAAAACATCAGAATGTGGCATTAAAGTCAAAAAGAGTTGTTTGTCCCCGAAAAAACAATTATTTATAACTTTTTTCTTTATTAAAATAGTCACCATCTTTCATCACCACCATACTGGAAAACTTCCCGCTCTTTCGTAAACCGAATAAACCACCATCAGAGGTGGTTTGGTTGGTTTAACGAACTGGTTTCAGTTCCAGCAAAAACAAATAGAAAACCGGTTCTGGGTTTAAGGACGTTCGATCCTGAGCTTTTGAGCAGATTTTGGTCTTGAGCTTTATTTCTAAAATTCTGCATTATTTTTAAGTTCTAACATTAAATCTGGATTCTACAAGGCAAATTATACTATATCCAATGAAAAAACCGCAATTAAATTCCATTCAAATAGGATTAAGCCAGGAACTATATTTTGTGGCGGAAGGTTTTTTAGAAGAAAATGATCATTTTTTCCCTTTTAAAATATATACAGTACTGTTAAGTTTAGATTCCTATTTTTCCATGCTGGTTGCACACAGAGCTATTTTGTGCATTGAAATGTTTAATGCTGGTTCTAAAATATTAATTAAATCAGTTTTTTGTGAATTCTATCATCATATTGTGACAAATATAGAAAATATATTCTGAAACTCCAGGAAAAAATTGAGCCAATTTTATCATAAAATTAACAGTTTTTTAGTAATATCTAAAAAAAAACATCATAGACCTCCACTTTTGATTTTCTTTTCTGAATATATAAGATAACTCTGATCAATCTACTTAAATTCAGCAAAAGTTTAAGACTTTAAAATATTTTTCTTGTTTGTTAAATTTTTAATGCCCGAAAAATGACATTTTGTGAGTGCAGAAAGGTCAAATAATTGATTATGGGAAGCAATTTGAGATTTTTTTTTTGGTCACAATTTTAATGTGTCTTTTTTAAGAGAGAATAATAGCATACTTTGTCCCATGATTTATTTGGATAAAAAATATTGGATGGAAAACGTCGAAGATGTTATTTTTGATTAAGACACAAATTCAGTGCAAAAAGGTCATTTTAAATGTACTGTAGTGCCAAAAGAAGCATATTGACCCCCATATTTTGTTTTGATTTTTAATTAAGCTATGTGTGTAGAAGCTAAAAATATACTTGACAAAAAAAGTTTAAGACTTTAAATATCAGGATCCAACGTCGTTAAACTAGTTTAAAAGCAGTTTGTGGAACAAATGAACAGTTTACAAAACTGGTTCAAAACTAAAACCAGTTTTTGAGAAACAAATTCGCCCTTAGATGAGCTCATTTTTTATCCCAGTCTCACTTTTACAAAAGGAATTATTAGTTGAAAAGTGAGAATGAAATCAGGAGTGAGCTCATCTAAGTTTATGGTCTCGGGGCCTGGAATTTCAAATATATATGACACCCCCCCTTTTTATTTTATATATATATATATATATATATATATATATATATATATATATATATATATATATATATATATATATATATATACATACATTCATATGGCAAAGATTCTTTTGATAGTATTTTTGCATTTGTTTAAAAGTAACTAGTTCAGTTTTTATAAATCAAATAAGTTACAAAATGCATTTGTCGTACTGCTCACTATGAATGTCTATAATGTCAAAATGCATTTGTTGTATTGCTCACTTTTTGCTTTCCAATGGTTTTCATTTTGGGGTTCTCTTCATGTAAGGTTTTGTATATATGCCAGTTAACTTGGGGATAAAATTCACATATTACTGGAAGAACGTCACCTTGATTCAGTACTTTGATTTACAACTGTAATGGGCATCTTCTTGTTGATTTACAGTCAACTCGTACCCAAACCGACTCGTACACAAACCGAGTCGTACCCAAGGAGTCAACTCGTACCCAAAACTGTTACTTACATATACAGTGTTATACTACCGGTATATACAAAGACATGTACTACAGATTATTAGAATACACATAATCCATCTGTGCTGTTGGTAATTGCATAAATCATGCTTGTTGTTTGTGATGCCTGAAAGGGCCCTGATTTCGCAGCTCTGTTAAGGCTGCATAAAGGGGCCGGGGCCTAATTTATACGGGAAAAGTTTACTGTGACATCACACAAATATAGCAATTCCTCACAATAACAGAAAATGAAATAATTTGCAAATCTAAGCTGCATAAGAGTAATGAACTACATCAAAACTTACCACTGCATTCATTTTTGTCGCTAGTTAAATCCCACACAGCAAGATATAAACAAGTCACTGATTGCAATGCACTTGTCGACATGACGTCATCATGGTAAAGTTTGACTCATTTTATGTGCAGTGAGAGGCGGATCAAGTAATTTTTTCACAGTGAAAAATGCATTTTATTATTAAACAGAATATTATTTGCAAATCTTAGGTAGATCATTAATACAAATCTGAAACGTTTGTTAAGTGCCATTATTTAAAAAATATCGAGAGAATGTATTGAATTAATTCTACTGTGTTTTTGTCTACAGGGTGTGCATGTTTCACGCCGAGGTGCCTCATTAAATCGCCTTTTCGCAAGGGCATACACTTAATAGATCTTGACCATTTTTTGAATACACATAACGGACGTATTCCTTAACTTGAAGAGTGCTGCTGCTTTCCTGAAATCGATAGCATGATTTAATAAATACATAAAATACTTGGTAAAGGTCACACATATTTCAACATTAGCCAGATAACTTGAAATTTAAACTAATAAAATGCGAATTCTATTTAAAGCAGCAGCACTTTCCATAAACTACAAATTATGTAGAAACAAACTATTACTTTAATTTTTAATTTTAACTAGGGTATGCCCTTGCGATATTGAAATTTGTTTGTGACCTACATACAGTACACATTACATGCATTTATCACGTGCCTATCAAATAACATGACCAAGCCAAATTCAGTACAGAGCGGGGTATACAATGTTATTTCAAGTAATGTTAAAGTCATAAGATAATATAGTACCTTTACAAAAATAAATTCAGTCTAAAAAGGTATGTATTTATGCACGTTTATATTCTGTTGATTTCTTTGAAGTACGCCTTAACAGTGCTGCGCTGGAAATAAAGAATCGATCTAGGCCCTATCTACATGTACATCTATATATGCCAAGTTGAATTTTTCAAACAAATTTAATTGTCATTATTTTTAAAATAAAAGTAGTGTAACTAAATTGAAATAATAAATCAGATATCTTTATGAAAATATAACAAAAAGTGAAATATTTTCATTATTTACTAATATTTTATGACTTCAGTTTTGGGTACGAGTTGACTCTTTGGGTACGAGTCGGAATGGGTAAGAGTTGACTGGATACCTTGTTATATGAAAAAAACGTGGTATATATAGCCCGTACGGAATATTTACTTATAGCTCGTTTTGATCATAATAACCCCTTTGTGATACTTTATCCTGATTGGGAGATTTGTCACTTCCAAACTGTCAGATACATGTTCGTGCACTTAGTACTTACGTATGTGACATCGATGGTATAATTAGATGGCGGACAACAACATAATCTGCATAAAATATCGCAATATATGTGATCACCAAACATACAATTCCACAAAAATCTCCTCTTAAGACAGCCATTTACAGAAAAAATGCTATATATCCCCCTATACTTTCACTTCGATCTTTTTTTTTAAACATTTATACATATTCTCTAAATCAAAGCGGAAGTCATCAGTATTGTAATAAATACAGTTAAGTGACAAGGAAGAATTCCGGAAATTTTTGGTCGTAATGAGTTTACAGCCTAATAATTCCAATCTTAATTTTATTTATTGATTTCTTGTGTTCTGATTGGACGAGAAGAAATTCAAGGAAAAGTTTAGAGTTACACATCGATAAATTTCTCAATCATAAACTACTTTCTTTGACCTAACTTTTATTGTAAACAAGACATGGCCGTAGGAACCGGGGGGGGGGGGGGGGGGGGCGTGCCGCCCCACTAATTTTTCCGATACATAGATTACTATAGAAAACATGGCTACTACATGCTTGTGCTCCCTCACGTCTGATGACCTTTTTTTTTTTTTTTTTTTCTTTTGCTTGTCAAGGAATTTTTGGTAGTTGATAGTGCCCCTTCAACTGAAAATGTATGCCTGTGCCCCCCCCCCCCCAACTGAAATTGCTTCATACGGGCCTGCTGAGGATATGGATTACCCCATATCCAAGTTATTCGACTTTTAATTTATTCGAATTTTCATTGTGCTCGGATGATTTCTAATAAAAAACTAGATGCTGTCATGAGACTGTAATACCCGCACTAAGTATTTGCCTCTAAATGCACACTCCTTCATATTGGGCCTACCAAGGAAAATGCCAAAATAATTCTATAATTTACACAGTACATGTATTCGTCAAATCGAGCATAAATTGCTCAGGTGACCATGTGACCTATGAGCCTCTTGTAGGTATTTCCTTTACTTAATTCATTACCAGTCTGAAATAACAGAGTTTAATTAATGATGTAAATTAGGTTTTGATAAAAGGGGGGATATAAATTTTTGGCCCATAATTGAACTTTTTAAATTTATTTTCTCAACAACAAATGATATTATTTTAGTACAAAGCGTTTTTAATGAATTTATCAAAATGTGCAAACTTTTTTTTAGTATTTAATTAGGCAAAAACCCTCTTGAAAATCCATACCCAATCAATTTTGTCACCCCCCCCCCCCCACACACACACACACACACACACAATTTGCCTGTTTTTGGAAATAGCCTTAGATGGAAAAGTTATGTTAAAAACATCGTTTGTTATGATAATTTAAAATTTGTTCTTTTACTGTACATGTATGTGAACACCTTTTTGAAAATTTCTTCATCACATTGGGCTTGCGTCACTCTACTAGTACTAGTTTTACCATTATCATTTTTAGATTGCACATGCATTCGGCAAACCTCGGCTGATTCCATCACCTTCATCAAACGTTAGAACGTTAGATAAGGTACGAATCGGCAGAGGTGTGCCGAGTTATTGCACATGGTGCAGTGGTGTAATCATCATTACATGTATATCAGTAGGAACAAGAAAACATTGATGTAACCATCAATTGTCGCCCGGGGAATAAATAAAGTAAACAATGGAAATGAGTCTTGATCATCAAACCGCTTCGATATGTGTGAAAAAGGCATGCGTCTAAATGATGGAGACGATAGTCGAGAATATTTTGAAAACTTATAGTCGGATGAAAATCGAACAAAAACGATACCCTTTTAAACTTTATCAATTCCTCAAGTAAATGTTGGCTGCATAAAATATAATTTGAAACCAGACACATGCATCACCTATTTTCAAAAATGTCTTTCACTTAAAGAATATAAAACACGAACTGTGTAAAGTACTTTTTTACGTTTTTATGCGATAAGTAAAATTCGATGTTCTAAAAAAGGGACCTGTCGTTTTTCGATAGTAAATGATAAGCAACTTTATATATTAAATATGAAAAACATAAATATGTAGTAGAAATTTCCTTGATCAAGTTAATAATATGCAAATTATTTATCAATCAGGTACTTCCTAGTGTGTTAGCTATGTTACCTCAAACGTTGTAATAACCAAGACAAAGACGATGACTCAGCGTCTTTGGGTAAGACTATAAATAGAGGCCAGCACTGATGCTCAAGTTAGTTAGTCTGTCGGCCGGTGTACAGTGCGGATCGTTTTAAGGTAAGGAATTTTTTGTGCTTCATTTGCGGGTCTCAAAATACTGCAGACATACCATTTGGGGTACATTAGGTTCCAAACCTACTTTAAAGGTTTATTAGAGAGTGTTTGGAAACACTGCTCTCAAACATAAGGTCTGAGAGCTTTGGAAGCTCTAACAACGGGTTTCAGACCTTGAATAGCTTAGGAACATTGATTAAAGAATCATTAGAGAATCATTGTTTTGTATATACTTAAAATTAATTCCACGTAATTCTCGTTTAGTTTATTTTGACCAATCAATTGTAGGCGTAGGTAACGCAAGGAAAATTATATATCTCTTTCTCCATGACTGGAGAACCCACAGTACATATTACAAAATTTGGTGGCAGCGGTGGGATAAACATGTCAAGGAAATGTTAGAAAATAAAGTTATTGAACCTTCTAAGAGTCCTTGGGCTTCAAGGGTTGTCCTAGTGAAGAAAAAATACGGATCTACTAGGTTTTGCATTGATTATAGGCGCCTCAATGCGATTACATAGAAAGACGCCTATCCTATACCCCGAATAGACGAAACACTAGATCAACTAGCGGGATGCAAATGGTTTTCGACTCTCGATCTCCATTCAGGATACTGGCAAATAGAAATGGACGCAGAAGATAAAGCCAAGACGGCATTGGCACTCGAAATGGCTTGTACCATTTCAATGTAATGCCATTTGGGCTATGTAATGCCCCGGCTACCTTCGAGAGGTTGATGGAGACTGTCTTAGCAGGTCTACAGTGGGACATTTGCCTCATTTAACTCGATGACATTATTGTCTACGCCAAGACCATTTGAAGTACATATCCCATACTTTATTATTTTTTGTTAAATATTGAGAGATAGTTTTCAAACGTGGTTTAAAGTCTTTAGATAGAAAACGTTTAGGTCTAAGTCATGGAGGATATGCTAGATAAAGAGATAAGCTATTTGGAAGAACAATTAAAAGAGCTCTCTAACGAAAGTATTCGACTTCAACAAAAGGAACAGCAAAAGATATCCACTCCAATAACTGTTAGAGATTCTGGAATCGGTGCTTCGGAACAAAAGGAATCAAAGCATGAAGAAGATTATGGAGGTACCAGACCCAAAGTTAATGTTTAATGTTGGTGTGGAAAATGCTTTCAAACCCACTTCTGTCTCGGATGAGAGAAAAGGCGAAATAGCACGAAATCCTGGCATATATCTTGAAACACCACTCAACGATGCAAATAATATTACATTGCGGAAAAGCCAGGACAGACAATTTCAGAGGCATGGTTTTGAAGAAGGGTCAGGAAACAGGGCTAATAAACTAAGCAGCTTAAAACCTGCTACATATGACGGAACAACGTCATGGTTGGACTACAGGTCCCATTTTAATGCCTGTGCATCATTGAACAAGTGGTCAGAGGAGGAGAAGGGAATGTATTTGGCAGTATCCCTACGCGGTCAATCCCAAGGTGTGCTTGGGAATCTTCCAGATAGGTTACAGATGAACTTCCAAGAATTGTCAAAATCTCTGGAGGAGAGTTTTTCTCCTGTAAATCAAACGGAACTCTACAGAGCCCAACTAAAAGAAAGGCGTCAAAAAGCAACAGAAACTATACCCCAGCTTGGACAAGATATCAGACGCCTAACACGTCCTGCATATCCGACGGCCTCAGGGGACTTGTGTGAAACCCTAGCCAAAGAGTATTTCATAGACGCTCTGGCAAGCTTTGACATGCTATAAGGCACGCTGTGGAACTAGATGCTTTCATAGGTGCAGAGCGCACAAAGTACAGTGATGCTTTTGCTCGATAGATAGGCAGTGGGAAACTATCAGGGAAACTGTCAGTTGAAACCAACTCAGATACTCTTGAAGAAGTGATGAAATCTATGAAAGATATGCTTCTGAGTCTTCAAAAAGATGTTGACAAATTAAAGCATAGGCAGCAAAAGTTCCCAAACAAAGAACTTCCTTCGCTATTCCCACGAAAGTTCAATCAGAATTCAACTGATACAACTACGAAAAAATGCTTTAACTGTGGAAAACCTGGGCACTTCAAGAGAAACTGTAGGCTGCAAAATGCAGAGAAAAGGAAAGATAGTTTCAAAAAGTTTGGTTCTGGACCACCTGGAGGACTAAAGAAAAAGGGTTACACTAAAGAAGGCACCGCAAAACAATTAGCTTCAGAAAGCAGGAGACCAATAAAGAAAGGTTGTATTGGAGTACAGAGAAAAGTTAACGAACCAGGCATGTACATCTTGGGGACTGCTAATGGGGTTTCGATTTCAACATTAGTAGATACAGGAGCAACCGTAACTCTTCTATCCCAAAAAGTATTTGAGGTAATAAACCGTGATAGAAAGATAGTATTGGCTGAAACGGATTTAAATATCTTGTCAGCTACAGACACTCCTTTGAATATTTTGGGGAAGGCACTTATAAAATTTAAATTTGGGAAGATAATCATCTACCAAACATCTTTAATTGCGGACATTAATGTAGATGCGATTTTAGGTCTCGATTGCTTGCAGAACAACAAAGGTGTAATCAATCTACACGATAAGACACTTGTGCTGGGAGATGAAACTCAATGTTTGAAATTTGAAGGTAGAATAGGGTGTTTCAGAATCGTTACATCAGAAACACTGTCTCTTCCTTCAAAGAGTGAAATAGTCACCACTGGGAAGGTCATTGTTCCCGAAAACCAAGAATTTGGGACAAAATTTGGTGTTGTAGAACCCACTTGTTCGTATTTAAATTCTGATAGGGGTTTGGTAGGAAGAACCTTAGTGAAAGGAAATAAATGTGTTCCAATACGTTTGCTTAACCCAACTGAAAGAAATATCACAATACATTCAGGCACCACAGTTGGACAACTGGCACCAGTTGAAGAGATACTCGAGGGTGGATTAAATGAAATAGAATCCAGTGAGACTTTGCCTGATCGCTTGGCACCATTATTTAAGAAAACAATAACAAATCACAGTAAAAGGCAAGCAAAGTTGATAAAAAAAA